ACTCTTATTGGTTTTTTTGCATGTTGCGCTTCTATGGAAGATGAATGTCCATTCACTTACCAAGAATATCCACAACATTTTGTTTGGCTTAATTCAGAAAAGAGATGGAAACCAAGGCAGCAAGGCTATGCAATTGGTAGAATGTACTTTGCTAGCCCTAATTGTGGTGAGAGATTTTATTTGCGTTTTCTATTAACTGTTGTCAAAGGACCAAAATCGTTTCAATGCTTACATACGGTCAACAATGTTTTGCATGATACGTTTAAATCAGCATGTGTTGCAAGAGGACTTTTAAAAGATGATGAAGAATAGATACAATGTCTTAAAGAGGCTGCAATTATGAAAACTGGTTATCGATTGAGGAGATTGTTTACTATTATTCTTACTTAGTGCTCTTCACTGCAACCATATGCGTTATGGAATCAATTTTCAATGCATATATGTAATGATCTTGCACATAAGATTTGAACATTGTTTGCCATTTCTGAACCAACTGAGGCTCAAATTGAAGACTATGGTCTATATCTTTTGAATCAAATGCTCCAAGAATCAGGAAAAAGTTTAATTGACTTCCCGCAAATGCCATAACCTTCTACAAATTGGAGTGCAGTAGTTGGTAACAGGTTGATATTCGAACATCAACAACTACAGAATGAGGCACAACAGATAGATGCAGAAATTATTATTGATCGCCTCAACAATGATCAGCGAACAGCTTATGATGCAATCACTTCCTCAGTCTTTGAAAATAAAGGAACTATTTTCTTTTTGAATGGAGGTGCCGGAACAGGGAAACATTTTTGTACAATGCGATTGCATTGAAATGTCGCAGCCTTGGCCATGTTGTTATTATTTTGGCTTCATCTAGAATCGCATCATTGTTATTGGTAGGAGGTTGTACTAGTCATTCAACATTTTCCATTCCGTTGGATGTATTGGAAAATTCAATTTGTGGATTTAGCTAGCAATCATTACAAGCAGCATTGTTTAGAGAAACAAAACTTATAATCTGGGATGAAGTTCCTACGAAGCATAGACATTGTGTTGAGGCAGTTGATCTCATACTTCGAGACACTTGTGATAGTGAAAAGCCATTTGGGGGTATCACTGTTGTTTTTGGTGGAGATTTTCGACAAATCTTACTTGTTATAACTAAAGGAGTCCATGTGCAAATTGTGAATGCATTATTAAGACACTCTTTTCTATGGAAGGATATACATGTTCTGTCTTTAAATTTGAACATGCGCTTGAATCATGCAAATCTTGGAAATGCTAATTTTGCAAAATTCTTGATAGAGGTAATATTTCTTCAAACTTTTTCTCTATTATATGGTTCTTTTAAATTGACGAAACACATTTACGTTTATGTACTTTAATTGATTTTACTTACTATTTTATTTATTTATTTTTATAAATAGATTGAGACCAATCCTCAAGAAATTGTTAAACTTCCATCAACAATACACAAATGCCAAGATCTAAAAAACATAATCTCAGTAGTTTATCCACAACTGGATGTGGCAATGACATCGACTGCAACATTTTTAACTAAACGTACAATTCTTTCTGCATGGAATGATGATGTCAGTGTTATGAATACTACA